TACAGCTCCACTACCTATAGCTCCAGTGTCACCACCGAGTCCAGTGCCACCACCTAGTCCAGTTCCACCAACTATAGCTCCAGTGCCACCACCTAGTCCAGTTCAACCTTCTACAGCTCCACCACTCCTGACTTATCATCGTCGTCCGCGCCCAGCATCAGGTCCAGCTGATTCACGTCCTGCACCTGACCCTGCTAATACTGCGGACTTGTCTCCTCTTAATCAACCGATAGCACTACGAAAAGGTATACGGTCCACACTTAATCTTAATCCTCATTATATCTGTTTAAGTTACCATCGTCTCTCATCATCCCATTGTGCATTTGTGTCATCTTTGTCCTCTGTTTCCATCCCTAAGTCTACAGGTGAAGCACTGTCTCATCCCGGATGGCGACAGGCAATGATTGACGAGATGTCTGCTTTACATACGAGTGGTACTTGGGAGCTCGTCCCTCTTCCTTCGGGTAAATCTACTGTTGGTTGTCGTTGGGTGTATGCAGTCAAGGTTGGTCCGGATGGTAAGGTTAATCGTCTTAAGGCTCGTCTTGTTGCCAAGGGATATACTCAGATATTTGGGCTCGATTACAGTGATACCTTCTCTCCTGTGGCTAAGATAGCATCAGTCCGCCTTTTTCTATCCATGGCTGATGTTCGCCATTGGCCTCTCTATCAGCTGGACATTAAGAATGCTTTTTTACACGATGACCTTGAGGATGAAGTTTATATGGAGCAACCACCTGGGTTTGTTGCTCAGGGGGAGTCTCGTGGCCTTGTATGTCGCTTGCGTCGGTCACTTTATGGTCTAAAGCAGTCTCCTCGAGCCTGGTTTGGTAAGTTCAGCACAGTTATTCGAGAATTTGGCATGATTCAGAGTGAAGCTGATCACTCTGTATTCTATCGGCATTCTGCCTCGAGTCTCTGTATTTATCTGGTGGTCTATGTTGACGACATTGTTATTACCGGCAATGACCAGGATGGTATTACTAAATTGAAGCAACATCTCTTGCAACACTTTCAGACAAAGGATTTGGGCAAACTAAAGTATTTTCTGGGTATTGAGGTCGCTCAGTCTAGCTCAGGTGTTGTGATCTCACAACGAAAGTATGCCTTAGATATTCTTGAAGAGACAGGAATGACAGGTTGTAGACCGATTGACACTCCGATGGATCCGAATTCTAAACTTATGCCAGGACAGGGGGAGCCTCTTAGCGATCATGCAAGATATAGACGGTTGGTTGGTAAATTAAATTACCTTACAGTGACAAGACCTGACATTTCCTTTTCAGTGAGTGTTGTGAGTCAGTTTATAGATTCTCCGTGTGATAGTCGATTGGGATGCAGTTGTTCGCATTCTTCGGTATATAAAATCAGCTCCAGGCAAAGGTTTATTGTTTGAGGGTCGAGGCCATGAGCAGATCGTTGGATACTCAGATGCTGATTGGGCAGGATCACCTTCTGATAGACGTTCTACGTCTGGATATTGTGTCTTGGTAGGAGGAAATTTGGTGTCCTGGAAGAGCAAGAAACAGAATGTGGTTGCTCGGTCTAGTGCAGAAGCAGAATATCGAGCGATGGCTATGGCGACATGTGAGCTAATTTGGATCAAACAGTTGCTCAAGGAGTTGAAATTTGGTGAGATTAGTCAGATGGGACTTGTGTGTGATAATCAAGCTGCTCTTCATATTGCGTCAAATCCAGTGTTCCATGAGAGAACTAAACACATTGAGATTGACTGTCACTTTGTTAGAGAAAAGATACTCTCGGGAGATATTGCTACAAAGTTTGTGAAGTCAAATGATCAGCTTGCAGATATTTTCACCAAGTCCCTCACTGGTCCTCGTATTAACTACATATGTAACAAGCTCGGTACATATGATTTATATGCACCAGCTTGAGGGGGAGTGTTAGAATAGTCATGTAAATAGGAGTAAATAAATAACCCTAATCCAATATATATTAGGAGTAGGACATGTTATGTGTGTATATATATAGGGCTCATTGTAACATATGAATATACATCAATAATATATTTTCTCCCGTGCTTTCTCACAGAAATAATGATAGCAATTAACTTCAGGCCAACAAATGACAGAACTGAGGAAGAGGAAACTCATTTCTAACAGACTTCACTTTTTTCCTTAAGTCGTCAGCGATTTGGAAATTTAAAACTGAACACACATATTCACCAGAAAATAGCTCCATAAAATTTTCTTCATTGATATTCGTTAGACTACTTCAACTGAAGTTTTAGGGAACTCCTCTTCCCCTTTTCATCATTTTCAGCATGCCTCATGTCACGTTTATAATTTATTGAATAAAAATAAAAAAAATTAATGTAAACACTCAAATGATATGATGACTGATGATCAAGCAAGTATCCAAACTGGATATTTCTCCTAAATACTATTCTTACAATTGTCTCAACCCCAGAAATGTTGCTTCCAGTAGATTAATAAAATGAAAGGTCAGTCAACTGTGCCATGCCAAGCCTCAAACCATTCAATTACCCACGGCTTAGCCGCATTCTAAGTCTATGCATTGGCTGGGTAAAGCCTTACAGAGATTCTCTAGGAGGTCAATGACACATATCTTTACCTGAATTCCAGATGAAATAAAATAAACCCAAATGCTCAAAACAGGAGACAGATAAAAAGACCCAAAAAAAAATAAAAAAATAAAAAATAATAATAATAATAAATAAATTCTGTTTTGCAAATCATTTAAAAGAAAAATCAAAATAAGATAAGGACGACTTAGTAATTTGTGACTGTCATACCTGAACGTACTGACGATTAAGTTGCTCCAACCAATCTGTTTTCACACAAACCTTGTCATCAGAGAAGATGTGGCTGCTCCTTTTCAAAATGGTCGCAATTGAATATCCTAATGCCATCAAACCACCAAGAAGTCGTACACTGACCTCAAAGGTGATTCTTGGTGATATAATGAAAGGACTATCTGTCACCCATTCCTGAAAGAAGTACATGAAAATCCTCAGATGATTCAAGATTACTATTTCTTGACATTCCGCACAATGCCTTCAAGAATTCAATAGATACCAATAATGTACCCAAAATAGGAAACACAGAAATAAATTCCAAAGTTGAAAGTTCTTGACTGCTCATTTATAGCAATGTAGCAAACAGAATAACAAGCTAAACTGCAGCATTTGACTTTGGTCACAGGTGAACTTGGATGCTCCTTCGAAGTATCTTCCTTATAAGTGAGTCAGGTGTCATCCACATTAGAATGACAAATAAGATCTGATTTATCTACGATTTTGGTACTACAACATCTAGTTTTCATCGTAAAAACAAGGTGCAGAAATGCTCTATCAGGGGAAGACAGATGCAAATAGAGCAAGATGGAGAGAGATTAGATTATGATAAGTCATATCAGCAAAATGTTAAAATGAAGTTAGTCACACAATAGACTGTATTCTATGTTTTAGTGTCCACATATCTATGACAGAACAGTAGGATTCTACTTAAAAGCCTTAATCTGTATTAGATTGATTGCTATATTTCTTCTGTCTGTATGATATGAAATAACTAAGGCCAGATTTCTCCAGCGAGCTCTATAACCATTAAAACCTAGAATTTAAAAGGTAGTTCATTCAGCATATACAAGAAAGACCAGCAATACATGCTGACAGCATTCTTGCTACTTCACTAATGGAATATATGCAATCGCAATCAAATAGATCATATGAAGGATCCAAGTAGCTTAACCAATATCAAGCAAATTTACCATCTGAAAATGACAAGACAAAAAAGGTGACAAGTAGTCCAACTATTACTAACTGATATGCTCAGCATGTAAACAAGGAATTTATCGGTCACACCTCAAACATAAGAGTGTACTTTCCATCCTTGTTCCTCATCCTAAGATATGATTGGCAAGCTTCAGGATCTTCACCAGGAGGTAGGAGATAAATATCATAAGTTTCCTCTGTAATTTCCTTGTGTTCATTTGAAAACACAGCCTTGATCTGGTCTACAGTCACAGTTTTTGTTGACTGTAATATATTTAGAAAGCATCAGTCCCAAAAGTTGTGCTTGCAGTTCACAAGTAACCTTGTAGTCACAATTTAAATGGAACGTAAAGAGAAAGGTCAAAATGTTAGACCTTTAAAACATATGTTGGGTTCTGAAATCCAGCGAACGGGTTAAACTTGTTGATAATTTTGATATGAGCTGTCTGTAGATCAGGCTCAATAAAGGCTTTGTACATAGGATACACCTGTTGGAAGAATGACGTACGGTTCATTGTACTTGGATGCCAAACTAAATGTATAAAGAAATTTGAAACGGATATGTCTTGCAATATATTATTAAAATAACAGAAACGGAACCGTTTCCGAAATTTGTTGGATTATCTCCTCGGGCTCTTGTCCAGCACGTTGAATGTCCCTGAGAACCCGTTTCACTAAGTCAAAGTGCACTCCACCCGTGACAGACACACGGAGATCTAGTAATGGCCTCAATTTTTCACTCAAAGCATATATCCCTTCAATTATAACAATTCGAGAGCTTGGAGCTTCAAGTGTTCTGTCAAATCAATGGTCAGAAAAAGTAATGGGATCAGAAAGAAGTAGAAAACGTGTGTTTTACATTGGCAAGTAAGAAAATAAAACATTTTGTATGGAACCGGTTCTTGATTATAAATTTAAGATGTTCTTCCATTAATGTCAGCTAGGCGAAGCTCTTAATTGTATTTCGATAGGTCTCTCTGAATCTCTCCCCTCTTTACACCATTCTCTTCTTGTTTCCTCTTTTCTCTCTGAAGATATACTATTAGCTCTTTATATTCCTTGTTGATTTTCTATTAAGATCTCTATGTATACACAAACTCGTTAGATTGTGTATATATCAGGTCATGAATGTAATTAAAAACCACGCGGGGCAAGGGGGCGGCCAGGATGGCTGATTCACAAATCACAACTCCCTGTCTTCTTCACCAAAATAAATCCGACATATAATGAGCAGAATTTCGCATAAAAAGTTAATGGATATTATGAAGGTCTAGATTAAGAATGATATGCAATGTCATTCATGGGCTTCAATCAAATGTTATATACAAACAGTAGAAAGAAAATAGACGTCTTAATGTCTTTCAAATATAAAAGCGGTTAATGAGCAGTATGAACATTTTTTTGGGGTAAACCCCACCACAGAAACCTCCTTCCCCTGCACAACAAGTATTTTTCTTCAATCCCTCTCCTTGAACTCCAATGAATAAAAAAGAAAAGAAGAAAAATCCCTAGCACCAAGGAACAATCTAAAGGGAAAAAGGACGTGAAGAAAGAGAGGGATCCATATAAAAGCAGTGTGTTGTCAGGAAAAGTAAACATCGGCCTAGCAGAAATAGTGAAGAGAAGAATGACAACTGACCTATAACCCACGCGAGAGCTAGATTTAAAATCGTATATAGGAACTTGAACAGGCTTCCCCGCTTTCAGCCCATGTATATTCTCGAGCAAAGTCTCATAGTCTGTCAAGCGTGGATCTGTTTCAACAATACCAGGAGATAAAAGTCATTGAAAATCATCATCTTAAATTCAATCATTAGTCACAGCATAGCTTCTCCTCTCCTTGGTAATAAGGTGGCAAAGGACATTAAAAACACTAAAGCAGAATAAAACGACTATGACGAATGCTGACATGATCCAAAACAGTTAAATATGGACTAACCATTTCCGCAAGACCACATGCTGGAAATAATATCTCAAAATGCAGGAACACTCAATCAAATTGCACTGTTTATTCTTTATAGCAGAAACACACATTCAAAATGCAAGGTAGACGTCAATTCTAAGTTCTCGATTCAACAATAAGTGCATTGTTTTCTTCAATGATCCTTTGTGGCGTTCTACAGGAACACCTTATGCACAAGCCCTTGTGAGCCTGATATACACAGTGGTATATCAAGAGTTTTCAAGAGTTGTTTATAATGAAGGATTTTAAAACTCTAGTTCTTAACTTTCCATCAGCTGAAAACAGTTAAACCAAGAAACTCTTCTGTTATTTCCTTCCTGATAAAGATGCGCAAAAAGCATGAGAAGTTGCGTACTGTGACATAATTTCACTTATGAGACAAGTTCCAAAACTTTTAGCAATTAGCAACATTTATTTGATGATGATGATTGGTTTCCAAACTCAGCACCATAGAATCCAGAGAGATTTAGACTCATGAACAGTTTTCACATAAAAAAGAACAAACTGAAAAACTAAATTAAGGAGAGGTGACAGCTGTACACATCTATTATCCTGTGATAGAAAGGATCAATGAGATCTGCAAATTAAGAAACTGTCTAGCACCCAATATTTATTCATTAATGCAAGACGACTTGATACTTTTGCATTTTCAATATTTTTCCTTATACTAACAATGGCCATGCTCTAGCTATGAAAATAGTATTCCTTGTTAGTATTTTACTCTTATCATTCATTATCACATTAACCAGCTGCAAATGCAGCCTGAAAATTCCTATTAGGATTTGACTTTTAAAAGATTCCTAAATCAAGAATGCAATGTACAGTCAGGAGGTATCAATCAGCCATACTGTTGCAGGCCTAAAATAAAAAAATAAATGGCTCCCTTCTTTGCCAGCTTTAACTTTTAGATGAAGCAGTAGCAGCGAGATATAAAGGGTTTAAGCTACATTCTTTGGCATAGATATATACTTCGTCTTAGCAGTGTGCTTTACTGAATCGTACAAAGTATTTGTTCAATGATGTCTTCATCTTTCATGTGCATATGCATATATATATTTAGATCAGGGATGAATTTAGAGAAGAGTTAAAACTCCTTGTTTTTTTTCTTTTCTTTTTCCTTTTTTTAATAACAGAGAAATCTCCAAGGGTTCAGTAGTGCACGATTCAGAACTCGGTGGAGAATGGGCCCACCCCTCTATCCTTCTCCACTTAAATACTAGGCTTTCATCTGCGGCAGGATTTAAACCCGTGACGTGCACCTAGCACCCACACATCACGTGTTGCACTCTTACCACTGGACCAAAGCCTTGGGCAAACAAGGGGTCATTGAAAATAAATGCTGTATTCCTTAACCCGGAAGGCAAACAGTTTCTATTTCTCAGTGTGGACTCCCTAACAGTGTAATCAACTGATCTCGAGATTTTTGGCTTTTCTAATTGGTAGTACAGACTAAAATAATTCACTCGGACTGATTACTGGGTGAGCGTTATTTTACTAGGAAATTTCGTAAAAGTTTTCGCCAACAAGATATTCAGCTCAGATTATTCTCCTCAATGAGTAAGGACATGATTATATTATATAATCCCTAATCCAAAATAAAGTCACCATGTCTTATCTATTGTAGATGATAAAAGTTGGAAAAACTTTATCAGAGTAAAGGAAAGAAACTATGATAAATGGATGCACAATGTTTCCCTTCTGATATATAGTGGAAAATTTCCTCAAAGCTTATTTGATTTTTAAGATGCTGCTATGCGTACTTCTATGAAGATTGTAGAAGATGGGTAAAGACAATGCCCGTGCAATAATCATCTTCTTAGAAGAATTCACACTTCTTGACCATTGTACTTTGTGATTACAATTTGTTAATTGCTCCGTAAGGACATCTATGCTCAGGAAGATGTATCCAGATGGATGACTTGGATGGTAACAAACTCTCCTATATTAGTACTTTAATTACTTTCAAGGCAACCAAGTTAACAAAACGAGAATTACAACCAGAATAAGCTCTCAAAAATTTCTCTCTTCGTAAAGGAGTGGTACAGTAGAAACACGTAATAAGTGTATTAGATATATATATCCCCAATTCAATTTTCTGTGAAACAGAGAGTTTGTGCATGCTTCTCTATGATTTCTTTCCAAATATATCATTTAAATCCTAGTGTTTGCAATCTCCTTCTCCATATGGAATGATATCAACATATCCCACACTAAGAGAAGTCTGCAGGTTGCTATGTGAAGATGATGCAAATAATCAAACAAATGCTACATAACTAGAAGAATAAATCATAGACATCAACAAAATTATCTCATGTAATAACCTATCATAAAGACCAAAAGCAAGACTACCGTCGAAGTTTCCATCAATGATACGACTGGGATCATTGTAGTTGTCCATGTTTATGATAGCAATACTAGGCATAACATTCAGGATCTTTTCTGTGAACACGGTCTTTCCGGCCCCTGAAGGACCAGCAACTCCCACCAGTACAATTCCTTCATTCTTCTGAGCCAACAATTGGCATGCACGGATAACTATAAAGAAACCCTTCTCGAATGATAGTTGATCTTGAATTGGGACTATCTCATAACGAGCAGAGTTGCTTCGTTTAACCAATTGAACTTGATCTCTTAATAGGCCAGACCTTCTTCGAGGTGAATCGGCACTTGAAAGAGTATCCTGGGCCATTAAATAGCTCGAAAATTCTGCAAATTAAGATGCAAATAAGGAACTTAAATTTAAACAGCAATCCAAACATTACAGTAGTCTATGGCCCCCAGAACGTCTTTTATGGGGGACTGGATATACGACATCATCTGCAAGAGAATTTCATTCGCAAAGAAAAAGTTTCAACTTCTGTATTTTTTTGGCATGCTTTAAACAAAAAATTAATTTATGCAGATATCAGATAGAAGTACTATTTCTTGAAAGGATACTGATCATGAGAAAATGCGGTCTCAAAGCAGCTCTTGATGAAATCAAAGCAAAAGAGAAAATGCATATATGTGCACACGCATGTGTAGGAAGAATACATGTAGTATCGTCTAATCATGAACAAAGAGGTTGACATAATGCATTTTACCACAAATAGCAACAACAGCGACTTTACATCTCACTCCGGAGCTTGCAGTCAGAAACTTGGAGATACTCCGGCAGCGCATACCACACCACTAGGTGGCTGCTCACTCTATCCCAAGATGGCCGTTACATATTGCATCCCCATAGTAAACCAAAATGATCCTTGACTTAAGATTTTCAAAAACATATTGTTTGTCTAACTCCACTATGTCGCAAAGTGTTTTGCAGGTCCCGACACTAGTTAAAGGAAAGGTTGTAGTAGGCTGACGCAGTAGCATGGCAGGAATGCCGCCAAGGGTGTTCAAACTTTAAACAAGTCAATAAAAGAAAATTGCCGATAAAAGGTATGAACTATTTGAAAAAGAGTCAAACAGACTACATGGTACCGTCTCTGTTTAGTTTTGGCGAAAAAAATGGGCAGATAACTTTGAACCCGTGAACAACACATCACTTTGAACACCCTGGACCACTAGACTGTCTCACTCAACTATATTAAGGGTGTTCAAAATATAATATATGATCATATAAAATAGTATTTGATTTATATACGCAGTATAATTTTCCAGCGAATCGCATAATGTGGCTACGCCACTGGGCTGACGGTGTAAAAATAATTTAACTATCACGCATCTTCGAAAATGGATACAAGCCAACCTCACTAATTCGAAAAAAGAATAATTTCTCTGAATAGATTTCGGATAAGAGTTCAAGCTAGTTACCTTACTTAAGAGCACAATCAAATGATTTAAACGGCAAAGGAGGTCCTGAAAACTAAAGGAAACTGAAATTGAATATCTACAGGGGAGGAGGAAGAATGCCTCCAAAATTATATACTAGTATAGTATCTGATAGCAAGAAAGCGAAAAAAATGAGGAAATATGAATGAAACTGAGTTTTTTCACACAAGCGTTCCAAAAGAAACTACTCATGGTAAATATTATCACCTATATAAAATTTAGTCAACCACCGACGAATTTCAAGATTATCAACATTCAAGCAGGCAAGATGAAAGAATCCGTACGATTTAATTGTTGGTGTTAATTGATAAAGTGAACTACTAATTTCAAAGATCAACCAGAAAGTACAACTTTGAGATAACAGAAGGCTCAATCACAAATTCAATCAAAACCCAAATAATTTGGAACTGCATGCAAAATCAAAAAATTTATACCGAAAACATTGAATTAAAGACCGTTGATTAACAGACCTTGAAAGTTCGGGCAAATCCTTGTACCCCTGATCAAATGAGTATATATTAGAGTAGTATCTGACAATAGCACGAATTTCTTATTCTTGGTGTTGTCCAAGTGAACTGAACGGGAATAAGGAATATAGCAAAGAGAAGAAGACAGCGTGGTGGACTGTTGTTGGGTTTTAACTCGGAGAAGTTACTGAGTTTGTGAGTTTGTTGGATATTTTGTCTTTGGCCGTCGCTGTAGGACAGGGGAAAAGAAACATGTGGACTCCTTAGATAAAGATGAGAAAAAGGAGGGAAAGAAAAAGAAAACCGTAGGCCGTATCGTTGCGTAGAATCGATCAGGGATTGTTTGGAAATATCATAATGGATGAATTCTGCAGTAATTATGAATTTATGATGAAGGAATTGTTGACTTATTACGTATAAATGGTTAGGGATGTAGTGGATATGTCTTAGATTCAATCTCATATAAATATATGGCATTTGATATTCTCTTATCATAATTATTATTAATTGCTTGATTAATTTAATAAGGTCCTTGATTAAATTTTGAGACTTGTCATCGTGATGGAGATCATGATAATGAGAGTAAAGTCTCTAACAATTTAATCTTCGTATGATTATTAATTTGGACATTAGTAATCCGGTTGATTAATATTTATGTGATCGCCTTTATGGGATAAAGATTAGTTGGTCTCATTAACTAAATCACATAGATAGACGATGCATATAGAGATATGATCAATGGATCGGCTCATTAGATAACTCCTAATGGTTAGAATTACCATAAACTGTCAATAGGATATTCTCTTGAAGAATGTGATGTAAGAGTTTCCTTTGACCTGAGATCGTAATAGTAATTGACAACTTATTTATTGTACTTTGATACTAGACACCTATGGTCCTAGGGCGATAGTTGAAAGGATATTGGGTATGATTAAATACTTGTAAAATTAGTGATTGATCAAGATGGAGTATGTCAACTCTTGGTAATGAGTTTAAGCTCCATTTGTCATGAATTATAAACCACTAAATTAGGACCTTAGCTAGAGCAATTGAATGAAAGAAGGAAAGAGTTTCTTAGGTCACTCAATGGTCGATTATATTTGACATGAACACATAATTGGTCGCCTGTTAGGATTTAACAGTTGAACCATATCCTAGGGTGACCCAGAGCTATAAGGAAGGAATTACTACATTATTCTTCTACTGGTTCTTGAGAGTAAATTCATTCTATCCGGCCGTTAAGGAGTGTTGCTAGACGTCACCCTTGATTAGTCTATTGATGTGATCAAGTTGCTATCGGTTTAGTATTGAACCTGTGGGGTCACACATTAACGAGTGTTGTGATATTTGCTAAAGGATTAGTTAACTTATTATTTGACAATTAAATTAAAAATTTAATTAGTCAAATAAATAAAGTTATTAGTCTAAATCAAATATTATTATATTCTTTTCTAGCACAAAGGATATAATTAATATTGTGAACCAATTAAATTTGTTTATTTGGAATAAGAAATTAAATTACATCTTCTGGTTGAAACATATATGTAATATATATATAAAATAAATTAATATTGATTTATATAAAGTTATGTATATAATATTAATTTAATTCTTACCAATTTGGAATTGGAATTATATTGTCTTTTTTTTTTGGTTGGAGAATTATATTGTCCATAAAGGACGTATAAGTTAAATCCAATGTTGAATTGGAGTGACGTGAATCCTTAGGGATGTTTGGCATAGTCTGTTTGGCCAAGCTCCAAAAATTAGCTTATTTAGAGAAGTGTTTTTTCTCTACTTTTCTCAAAAGTACCTTTGGTGAGAAACAGTTTGTGTTTGGCTAATTAATTTGAAAAGTACTTTTGAGCGGCAATTGGTGTTTGCCCAAGCTTTTAAAAACTGCTTCTAAGTGTATTTTTCTCAAAAGTGCTTTTCAAAGAAGAGCTTTTGGAGAGAAGCTACTTTTTTCTACTTCTCCAAAACTGCTTCTGCTTCTTCTCAAGAGCAACTTTTTTTCTTCCAAAAGCTTGGCCAAACACTTCAACCTTTTAAAAAAAAATGCTTCTAGGATTGGAGAAGCTTGGCCAAACAGGCTGTTAAACCCATTTGGAATGAGATTATATTTTCAGTACGAAAATATTAATAAAAAGTTTATAAATTAGTATCCAACTTAGAATTGGATTATAAAAGTCCATAAGGACTAGTTATGGCCACACTGATGAAACTCTGATGAATTGACAATGGAAGCCCTAATCTGATTATGCCATAGCTGAACATAAGAGAGAGGAGAAGAAACAGAGTATCGCATTGAGAGGAAAATGAAAACATGTCCTGTTACAATGAAATAACCATACATATATAGACATCTCAACTTCCACTAACTACTTGACTAATATCCTACGTGTACACCATCTCCCAGACTACTTTACAGAATGGAATAGATTCTGCGTACAGGAACTGGTTTAACAAAAGGGGTCGAGAACTACATAGATCTAAGACTTTCCTTCCTTGGTCTGGGAGGTAAGTTATGTAGGCGTACATTCATTCACAACTAACTAACTCAATAATGAGCTTCCACTACTCTACACTAATACATCATGTGATCCATATTTCATCACTCCTCCTCAAGTTGGAGGGTGCAAAGACATTGAGCACATCCAGCTTGACAACTTGATACTAATGTTGTGGTCTTCCCAAGCCTTTAGTTAGAATTTCTGCTAGATGATCTTTTGAACAGACGTATTGAGTCTTTACCAAGCCTTCCTGAATCTTCTGTCTAATAAAATGACAGTCAATTTCTACGTGCTTTGTTCTCTCGTGAAATACTGTATTTGCTGCTATTTGTATTGCAACTTTGTTGTCACTATACACATGTACTGGTAGCTTTACTCAATTTCTGAGACTGCACTGGACATGCTCCTATACTCAGCTTCAACTAAGCTTTTAGAGACTGTGCTTTGCTTCTTGGATTTCCATGAAACTGGGGATTTTCCATACTTAATTAGATACCCTGACACTGACTTCCTAGTGTTAGGACATGAAGCTCAATCAGCATCACAGAAAACATTAAGCTCATTTGAACTTTGACTGCTCAATAAGATCCCTAGTCCTGGCTCCCTTTTAATGTACTTCACCACTCTTATGGTTGCATCCCAATGGGACTTCTTTGGATGGTGCATAAATTATCTAAGAATCTATACTGAGAATGCAATGTCTGGCCTGGACATGGTCAGATACAATAGTTTTCCAATGAGTTTCTAATATTGATATGCATCTTTCAAAAATTGATCTTCTGTTGTGCCAACTAATTTGTCAAGTTCTGAAACTGCCAGCTTTACATTTGCCACCAATGGAGTCCAGGATGGTTTTGCTCCTCCTGACCCCAAATCTGATATTATTTCTAGTGCATACTTTCTTTGGTTGATCAAAATACCCTTATTGGATCTGCTGAATTCCATTCCAAGGAAGAATTTCAATTCACCTAAGTCTTTGATCTTGAAAGCTTGTTGTAGGGAGACTTTAGTGCTTTCAATCAACTGCAAATTGTTTCCTGCAACATATCTGTTCCATTCCTTTTAATGAACAATGAGTGATCTAAGTTGCTTTGTTTGAACTCGGACTGCACCAGGGCTTCTGTTAGCTTTATGTTCCATTGTCTATTTACATGTTTCAGACCATAGAGAGATTTTACAAGTCTACATACTATCACAGACTCCCCCTGACTTGTAAAACCCTGTGGCAATTGCATATAGACTTCATCATATAAGTCACCCTGCAAAAATACATTATATACATCTAGATGATGGACTGGCCAATTGTGCATTGCTACTAAGGAAAGAACAGTTCTCACAATAGTGAACTTAACTACATGAGAGAAAGTCTAATTGTAATCAAGACCCTCTCTTTGATTGTAGCATTTAGCTACTAATCTAACTTTGAATCTCTCCATATATCCATTAGCCTTGAGTTTGACTCTGTACACCCATTTGCAACCTATTGTTGTCTTCCCTTGTGGTAAAGGAACTAGTTCCCAAGTCTTGTTATCCTGTAAGGCTTGAATCTCAGTGTGATGACCCAAAAAGTCATCACTTATTTTAGAAATAAATTCTGTATTCCGAGGCTTTGAAACCTCCTTTTTGTCTCACCTCGATTTGCGTGCGTAGTCCGAGCGCGTATCTGGAAAGCCATTATGTGAAAATCGGTGAAAAATGATAAATTTTGCTTTTAAAATAAATTTAAGTTGACTTCGGTCAACATTTTGGGTAAACGGACCCGGACCCGTGATTTGATGGTCCCGGAGGGTCCATAGGAAAATATAGGACTTTGGCGTATGCCTGGAATCGAATTCCGAGGTCCCAAGCCCGAGAAATGAATTTTTAAAGAAAATTGTTTTCTAGAATATATATGAGTTTTTGGAAATTTGAATATTTTTGAAATTGATGGTATCGGGCCCATATCTTGGTTCCGGAGCCCGGTACAGGTCTTATATGGCGTTTAGATTGAGCTTGCAAAATTTGGTAAGAAACGGACTTGAAATGACGTGAAACGGACCCTCGGTTGTGAAATTTAAAACTTAAGTGTTCTTGAGATTTTTTCTTTGATTTTGATGCTAAATTCATTGTTAAAGGTGTTAATTTGGTGATTTGATAGCACGAATAAATCCATATGATGTCTTTGGGTTAGTATAGTTTGGAGCCCCGAGGGCTTGGGCGAGTTTCGGATGGGTTTCGGAATGTTTTTAAACTTAGAAAAGTTGCAGGTTTTGCTGTCTCGGGTGCACAGAGGTTTTGTTCTTCGCGTTCGCGTGGTTCCACTCGCGAACGCGTAAGGCAAACTTCCTCAAGTGCCAGTTTGTTCTTCTCGAACGCGAAGCTGTTGAGGGAGTACCCTTCGCGAACGCGTTCAGGCACTCGCGAACCCGTAAGGTTAGTGGCC